TAGGCCACCAAAATTAAAATCACTGTAACTTGGCTGAGAATCAATATTTTTGGGTTCTGAAAACTGACTTTTTGTTTTAACCTGAACATATATAGGTGGCCTAACTTCAATGGCCTAGAAAATCAAAAGTTAGGCCACCGTCTTAAAAATCTCTTTAAAATGATCATATTAGGTTGGCGGGAAAGTCTTTGTCACTCTGTTTGTTTAATCACTGTTCTCGTATATGGAGGCTGTGTATGATATCGACTCTAGTGAATAACAAGGTGATAAGAACCTTCCATATAAACAAGTCCCCATTTCCTTCCCTGCTCCTCATCTGTAATTGAAACGATATGTTTGTTCCCACTGCTATTCACATCAGACATGTTTTGATTTACCTCTTCCTATCTCACACCACGATGAAGGATTCGGAAACTTTCTTGAAGAATGTGTACAACACACATGCCCCTCACTACAATACTATTCGCAATTGGTTCCATCGTTTCGAAAAAGATGACTTCTCGCTCGATGAAAAGGATCGCTCTGGGAGACCCCGTGAGTTGGATTTGGACAAGCTGAAGCACGCATTGCAATCGGATCCATTTCAATCTAGCCGTGAACTAGCTGTCACATTCGGAGTTCACCATAGCACAGTCCTTGAAGGTTTGAAGTCTCTTGGAATGAGAAAACTTTTTGGTCGATTCATACCTCATCACCTGACTCAAGCCAACCTTGACCGCCGAGTCGACGATTCGATTACTCTTCTCACTCTCCACGCGGGCGATCGATGGCTGGACCGGCTAATAACCGGAGATGAGAAGTGGGTCTTCTACGATAATCACCACAGGAAATCCCAGTGGGTTGGAGAAGGAGAGAGCCCACAGGATGTCCCCAAACCCGACCTTCATCCGAAAAAAGTTATGCTCTCTGTGTGGTGGGGAGTGGACGGCCCCATCTACTGGGAACTTCTGCCCGAGGGCAAAACAATAACTGGAGACCTCTACACTACGAAACCTCAAGAAAGCAGTCGACCGTTCGGCCCTGAAAGACAAGAAAGTGTACTATCAACATGATAACGCTCGCCCACATGTTTCGAAACAAGTGAAGCAGGAGCTGATGGGATATGGATGGAATGTTCTCCCTCACCCCCCGTATTCTCCTGATCTTGCTCCTTCCGACTATTGGTTATTTGGCGATATGACACGTGCCTTCGAAGGAAGAAGCTTCAATTCCCGTGGAGCGGTCGAAGCGGCACTCAAACAATACTTTGCCTCACGCCCGGCTGGATTCTACCGCAATGGAATCCATAAATTGAGGGAACGTTGGAGACATGTTGTTGATAATGATGGACAATATAATTAATTATTCGGTTATTTTTTCTTTGAGAAATAAACTATTGAAAAAGTGACAAAGACTTTCCCGCCAACCTAATAACTTGGCTCAAAATCGACGTTTTCAAAATTTAAAAACTGGATTCGATTTCCAAATGCCTCCTAAATTTTTCTATTTTTAGATTGCCGCCAATATCGCATCAGTTTTCAGTGAAGGGACCAAAATCGGGACCAATTCAAATGATCCTAGAACCACTAGACTAGGCCTGGTAACCTATAGTTCCAAAGCAACGAAAAACGCATATTTGGACAAGTTCCAATCGATCGACGATTTATACGATAATATTTTCACGGATCTGGCTACAGTATCCCAGACAGATGACTCTAATTTAGAGACTGGCTTAGAAGCGGCCGAAGAAATTTTGGAGGCCGGGACACCAAACGTCGAATGGACGTAACTTGGCTCAAAATCAATATTTTTAAGTTCTGAGAAGTGTACATTGAATGATTTTTCTTGAATTTTAAAATTTTCTAAATTTTTCTAAGAGTTTGAAATTTTGAAATGGCTGATTTGAAGCCAGGTTGACCCCCAAACGATCATTTTTAGGTTTATGGCCTAACTTTCGATTTTCTAGGCCATTGATGTTAGGCCACCAATATATTTTTAGGTTCAAATGAAAAGCTGTTAAACTCATTTTCAAATCAATTTTTTAAATTCAAAAATATTGATTTTCAGCCAAGTTACAGTGATTTTAAGTTTGGTGGCCTAGAAAACCGATTTTTCGGGAAACAAGGCCATGTTGTGTGTCATTCTGTTTGCCTTGTTTCGAGGATTTTATTTCAGTTTTTAGATTTTCCAATCAATAATTTTGAAGAAAGTTATGAAGGGGGACTAGTTTTGGTTTTCTAGGCCACCAACTGAAAATGATCATAACTTGGCTGAAATTGAGTATTTTTGAATTTTGAAAACTGATGTCAAACTCTCTAAGGAAGTGTAACAAAATGGTATGCCACGTGGCCGAGTTTTCCGGAAATTCGGTTTTCTAGGCCACCAAACTTCAAACTGCCATAACTTGGCTCAAAACCAATATTTTAAAAATTCTGTAAAAATGTATTTTATAGGATTTTTATTCAATTTTTTATTCAAGACCGAATACCGCTGTCAACCCATCATTTGTCATTCCTTGTGAGTTATCCACCACAGCGACCACATCTAACCACAGATTGCTCAGATCTTGACCGCAAGGACGAGTGATGTACTCAGAGGAGATTACTGTAGCATTTGAGATTTTGAAACTTTTCAAAAAATTTTCGATTGAAAAAAAAAGAAAACTTACCGTACACTTCGACCAGAAAAACCGTAATTACAGTGTTGAGTTTCATTGCTTAAGAGTATTTTCAGCCAAAGCAAAAAGTTATCACCAAAAAAAAATGTTTGGTGATTTTTTCAAATTTCACTGATAAGGAAACTCTAATCACAGATTATACGCACACCCCATAAAAGCTGACATTTCCCGGTTTTTGTTTTGTGGTTTTTAAATGTCAATTTTCAGAGTTTCAGCAAAAAAAAATCTTCTGAAAAACTGAAATTTCGAAAAAAAAAGTTTTTAAAAAAATGTATTAATTGTACATGAAAATAATTCGTTTCGCAAAAAAAAATCAAAAAATTTCGGTTTATAAATAAAAATATGTCAAAAAAAAGGGGCGTTTTCGTAATGGATTTGGGTGGACTAGAACAGAAAAAATCGATAACAAGGTCAAAATCGAAAAATCAATCATCAATCATCGTTCTCCTCATCAGAATCATAGACAACGGAGACCACCAACGACTCCATAGCTCTTCCCAAATCGTCGCAAGCGTTCATCAAGTTTTGCATCTGGCCAACACTGCTGCCACGTGGCACTTCGTCGGAATCCTCGACCGCCGTGGCCGTGGCCGACGAGGCGGTTACTAGGCCACGGTCACGATCGATAGTTCCCAGAGAGCCAGAACGGGCGGTTGATAGAGCACGCTCTGGGGTCCAGGCGCCGGCGGCTGTAGAACCGCGAAGGAGGGAGTTGGTGGAGAGAGGAGCGGATTTTTGCTGGAAAATCGATTTTTAGATGAAAAATCAATAATTTTTGAATAGATCAAAATGCTCGCCGTGTTTCGGCAAACATTTTGCACTAATTTTTAGCGTCTAGAACCTTCTAGATAGGATTTTAGAGTGATTTTTCCGTTTTTAGCCGAAAAATTGATAATTTTGGTTTTCAGCTAAAAATCGATATTTGAGTTTATCGATTTTACTTCCAAAAGGTTTGCCATGTTTTAGAACATTGATTGCACTATTTTTGAGCTTCTAAAACCTTCTAGAAACGTTTTTAGAGCGATTTTTCTAATTTAGGGCTAAAAATCGATAATTCTCGATTTTCAGTCGAAAAATCGATAATTGTTTGATTTTTTTGAAATTTTCGTGTGACTACTGTATTTTCCACATTCCCTTACAAATTTCAATTTTTGAATTTTCCGAATTGGACAATTTTAAGCCAAGTTACAGCGATTTGAAGTTCAGTGGCCTAGAAAACGTAGAAGTTCGGATTTCTAGGCCACATTTCTGAGATTTCTAGGCCATGTTTATATTCATTTCGAAGCACTAGTCAAGACAAAAATAAGTAATTGTTTAGTTTTGGAAAGTGTTGAATTTTAGCCAAGTTACAGCGATTTGAAATGTAGTGGCCTAGAAATCCGGATTTCTAGGCCACCAATGGGAGAACACTGGATTTCTAGGCCATGTTTATACTCATTTTGAAGCTCTAGACAAGACAAGACACAATCTATTTTCATAATTCAAAAATATTGATTTTCAGTAAAGTTACAGCAATTTGAAGTTTCATGGCCTAGAAAACCTGTTTTCTGGGCCACCAGCCGAAAGACTTTGTATTTCTAGGCCATGTTTATATTCATTTCAAAGCGCTAATCAGGACAAAACTGAAACTTTTATTATTTTTCAAAATTATTGATATGCAGCCGAGTTACAGCGATTTGAAGTTTGGTGGCCTAGAAAAACCTACAAATCCGGATTTCTAGGATACCAACAAAACACCCTGTGTTTAGGCTCATTTGAAAGCTCTCGAGCTCACGAATTCAGTTAAAACACAAGAAAATTCGTGAAAATCAATTCCATGGCCTGGAAATTCAAAAAATGTAGTTTTCTAGGCCACCAAAAGCCTAACTTTGCTTAAAATTGAGATTTTTTGAAATTTCAAAAAGTATTTTTTTTGAATTTCTTACCGTATCGATAACTTTTTTCAGCCTTTGTAGTTGCATCTCTAATTGCTCATTTTGTTGCTCCAGAATCCTCGAACGATGCTCGAGGCGTTGTTTGTGAAGGCGTAGAGCTTTGGCTTCGTCCATCACCTGGAAACCCCAATTTTTATCATTTTTGACCCAGGAAAAACGGTTTTAGGGTAATTCAAGCCAAAAATTCTGAATTTCCAGTCAAATTCAGCCCTAGAACCAAGCTTTTTGAGCTATTCTAGCTCTAAAATGAATTTGGCTAATTTTGCCTTAAAATGGCTCGTTTTTCTTTCAATTTTCAGAAATTTCAGCATTTTTTGAATTTCAGATTAACTTACATCTATCTGACTTTGTGTGGATTTCAGGGACACTACGCTCCGCCCATTTCTCAGCGGCAGCGTACCCCCGCGGCTCTCGCTTCGACGATCCGTGGGACGTTTTGAGGATCTGAAAAATTCAAAAAAAACATTTTTTGTTCCATAGAGCGTATTTTTTGTATTTCATCAATTTTCAAAGAATTACCTATCAATTTCCATGGTACTCGCAGCGCCTCGCTTCCACTCCAACTCCTTTCGCAACTGTTTGTTCTCGATTTGAAGTCGCTGGAGCATTTGGTCCATTTCGTCCCGTTGGAGTTGTTCAACCTGCGAAATTTTAAAATAACTGTATTTGTCAAAATTTTCAAAAAGTTTTCGAATTTTCGAAAATGAACCATTTAGAGCCAAGTTACAGCGGTTTGAAGTTTGGTGGCCTAGAAAACCAAAACAAGAGCGTTTCTAGGCCACACGTTTTGTATTTCTCGGCTACATTTATATCTATCTTGAAGCTCGTGTTGAGAAAAATTGAAAACAATTTGAACTTTTCAGAAATATCGATTTTCAGCCAAGTTACAGCGATTTGAAGTTTGGTGGCCTAGAAATCCCCAGAAATCCGAATTTTCTAGGCCACCAACCAAAATGCTCGTGATTAGGCTCATTTTGAAGCTAATACGCTTGCAAATTCAAAAATTTTTTTTTTTGAATCGAAAAATTAATTCCATGGGCTGGAAATCCAAATCTTTGGTTTGCTAGGCCACCAAATTTCAAATTGGCCTAAATTGGCTTGAAATTGAGTTTTTTTTGAAATTTCAAAACGTATAAGAACTATAAAAATTTCAGGTTTTCAACCAGAAAAAAAAAAAAAATTTTTAGATGGCCTAGAAACCTGCAAAATTTGGGTTTCTAGGTCACCAAACTTCAAATTGGCCTAACTTTGCCTAAAATTGGGATTTTTTCAAATTTCAAAAAGTCGTGGTCTAGGAATTGTGTCCCAGAATTTTCTAGGCCGCCTTAAAACTCACGAAATGTCGTTTACAAGTGCATTGCTCACACTTAATGTACCTCTCGGCCAGCTGGTCATGATTTTTGGTGATTTTTAGGAATTTTAGAATACTGCACATTTTTTTTTGGAAATTTTTTGAAAATTTGAAATTCTTAGAATTCCAAAAACTCAAAAAGTAAGAATAAGAAGAAAATTGTCTTGTAAGTGATTCCAATTTCTGTGTTTGTTGGAGAAGAAGAAGAAGAAGAATTTGGGGAAAAATAGAAAAAGAAGAAAAACGGTTTTCTCTCTTTTCTGCGTCTCTCGTTTCTCTGTACTCTCTCAATTTCTTCTAACTGTCATCATTTACGCGCGCGCAAGCGCAAGAATGAGAAAAATCCTGAGAGAGATAGTATCTAGGAGACACAGAGAAAGAAAAATGATTTCAGAAAATTTGAAACTACCGTAACTCTTTCAAATTTCCCACAAACTGGAAAATACTTGCAAATTTGAATTTGGCGCGTTAAGAGTTTCAAAATGAGTATACTCACGACCTACTTTCCCGGTTTTTCAATTTTTTAAGGGTCCATGCGCCTTTAAAGTCAAAAATGAAGTTTTGCAATATAGGCCATGATTATACTCATTTCAAAGCTCGTAACGCGGAAAATTAAAATAAAGCAAAACATTTAGGATCCCTCAAAAACTGATCAAGATACTGTAGTTTGAAAATTCGCCCTTTTATTGAGAAACTACCGTATCACTTTGGATTTTCACAAAAATTCAAAATTTTTTGAAATATTAAGTTTTTTGCGCTGTGAGCTTCAAAATGAGTATAATCATGACCCACTTTTCTCGATTTTCAAATTTCCGGAATTTTTCAGACCCCCTGCGCCTTTAAAGTTAAAAATCAAAGTTTTGCAATATAGTTCATGATTATACTCATTCAAAAGCTCTTTTCGCGTAAAATACGATAAAAGTAATTTTATTGGCTTTGGTGGCCTAGAAATCCAGAAATTTGAGGTTTTCTGGGCAACCAACGCTCTCCCAACGCTCTCAATGGCGGTAACTCCGCTAAAACCCATAGTTTTCTAAATTTTCAATCTAGCCCCCTTGAAATGGGTCAAACTACCGTACCTGATTGATAATTTGCAATGGCGACTGCACGGGCTCCATGTGCTCCGCGACACCACCGTGCTCAGCGGACAGTTTGGCGAGATGGGCGGTCATTTGAGCTGTGTCTGCGTTCATTTGCTCTGTGGACTGATTGGTGACCTTTGCCGGTGGACTTGTCAGGGGAACTCCTTCTTCGGCAACCTGAAAAATGAAAATTTCAAGTTTCTAGCACGTCTGAAAACCAGAAAATGACCATTTTAAGTTTGTGGCCTAGAAAACCAAATTTTTGAAAAACTAGGCCATGTTATAAACCATTTTGTCAGGCTTGTTTTGTGAAATCCAAATCAATTTTTAGTTTTCAAAAATATCAATTTTAGACCGAGTTACGGCATTTTTGAGTTGGTGGCCTAGAAACCCAAAACTAGGCCCCTTTCCTAACTTTCTTCAAAATTGATGGATTTTAAATTTAAAAACCAATTTAGAATCTCCAAAAAAAGCCTAACAAAATGATATACAACATGGCCTAGTTTTCAAAAAATTTGATTTTTTAGGCCACAAACTTAAAATGGCGATAACTTGGCGGAAAGTCAATATTTTTGAAAAGTTCAAAAAAATAAAGAAAACTAACATCAATCGGAAGATATCCTTTCTGTCGTTTCGACGCTCGCAATTTGTTCCTCAACATTTTTGCGAAATCCCTTGCGTCATCAGATGATGTGGTCTTCTCACAGTACTCCTGCATTGGGTGAATCGTTTTGTGACTTTTTGCTGTTCGCTGACTGAAGAAACAATTCTGACAGAGGTCACAATTGAAGCAAGTCAGGCAGCGATAACGGATTCCAATGATTGGAAACATCTTGCACACGTTGCATTTGGACTGAAAAAAATTGATAATTTTCGAAAACAGAATCTGAAAAGTTAGTTTTGATGAGATTTGTTGACGTTAGAAAGCTTTAAAATTCAATTTCCGACATTTTGATACCCATATTGCCATACTTTGCAAAAAATGCATATTCTGAATCCACCTTGACATCTTCAGGATTCAGAATTTAGACATTTTGCCGAGGTAGGGCAATATGGGTATCAAAACGACGGAATTTGAGTGGGCAACAATTTTGACGTCAGCATTTTCAGTTTTAAGAATGTTGATTTTTTGGGATTCTGAATTTTGACGTCTTCTGGATTTTCAATTTTTCCGAATATGGGCAATATGGGTATCAAAATTTTTGGAATTTTATGGGGAATTTGAACTTCGTACTGTAAATACCAAAAAATCGATAATTTTCAAATTCTCACCGCATGTTTCGTGTTCTCCGAGATGACAAGACGATGCATAACTGCTAACCAGACTATGGATTGGGGTTCCTGGAAACAAATTACTGTAGCGAGTCCTACTGTAGACGACTGTACTCACCTTTTTCACCCAATCAATAAATGCTCCTTCGGAAATCGTCGGAGCCAAACGGACGGTTTCGAAGCACGAACGGACTGACGGTTCGACGTTGGTGCCTCCGAACGCGGCGGATTCGCCGACAAGGCGAGGAATCTAAATTTTTTTTGAAATTTTCAAATTTTTAAGATTCTGGGGATTCAGAAAAGCCTAAAATTTTGAAATTTGGACTGGTAGAACGTTTTTTATAACCGATTTTCAAAATTTTTGGAACTTTGGAAATTTTTCTGAAATTTCAGATTTTCAGGATTTCAGCTACTTACGTGAATAAGATCATAAAGCAGCAGGGCGATTTGTTTTTGTGTAGCATGACCGTCTTGGGAAACTAGCTTGAAGAGATCTGAAATTCATAAGCTACAGTAATCCAATTATCAGGAATTCCCTTACATCTATATTTTTCCTCTAATGGAATGTTGGAGAACACGATCATGGCGATTTTGAAGGAGAGCACTCGCATGATACCGTCACGGGATCTGAAAAATTTTGGGATTTCAATGATTTTTGGCTTCTAACTTTTTAAAAACTGATTCAAACAAATTTTCTCATCGTTAGAAAGATTTAAAATTCAATTTCCGTCATTTTGATACCCATGTTACCTACTTTGCAAAAAATGCATATTCTGAATCCCTGACGTCTTCAAGGTTCGGAATCCAGTAAATTTTCAGAATATAGGCAATATGGGTATCAAAACTTTGGAAATCGAGCGAGAAAGAAAATTGACGTCAAGATTTTTAATTTTGAGAAGATTTGTTTTTTGAGATTCTGAAATTCGACGTCTTCTGGATTTCCAAATTTTCAGAATATAGGCATTATGGGTATCAAATTGACAGGAATTTTATGGAGAATTCAAATTTAATATTGAAATCGTCCAGAAAACAGCCGTTAAAGTTCAAATTCAAAAAAAAACTCACTGATCAAAAAGGTTCAACAGGAAATTGATGCATATATCAACGGCTAGGGAGACACTTTGCACTTGATTGGGATATTTTGCGTGGAGAGCCTCATACATTGGCAACAAAGCACAAACCATGCCCTCCAGACCCGGACACTCCTCGGCTGAGAGCCCTTTCAGCCGAACAAAGGCTTTTTCCAGAAGTGGAAGGTCCACAAGGTCCAAACAGAGTCTTTTTTGAAGGGCACGCAGTTTCATAGCAGTACGGTAGGCCAGGAATTTGACTCTATTGAATTGTGTGAGCTCTTTGACGATTTCCACCCATACCGGATGCTCCCATTGGGTCTTCTCTGTGGTTTGTCTGAAAAAATCTTTTTTAAAACTACCGTAACTCGTCCAATTTTCGCTAAATTTTGAAAAATTGTTCAATTTTTGAGCTCAGCAAGTCATGAGCTTCAAAATGAATATAAACAAGCCAAGGTTTCCTGAATTTCAATTTTTCGAGGGTCCATGCGCCTTAAACTCAAAAAAGCAAGAATTTCAAATTTGAGCAATCCTAGTCGTGTTTATACTCATTTTGAAGCTCATAACTTGCTGAGCTCCAATTTCTAACTTTCAAAACTGCAAAAATTGCTCACTCGATGTAGTACGGTAGCAAATTGGATTTGCTAATTGCCCGTTGCCATGGGAGATTGACCGATTGGTTGAGGAAGTGTTCGGAAGTTGGTCCAAAATCTGATGCGGCATTTCGAACGGCAGCTTGCCGGATCCGAATGGCACGTTTTAATGTGGAATATCTGGAAAAATACAGTAATCTTGAACAATTTTTTCAATAAATTTTTCGTTAAATTCAAGTTTTCCAGACTTGTAAAACTGAAAAATAGCTTTAAAATAAAATTCCTGAAATTTTGATACCCATATTGCCAATACTTCGAAAAAATTTGGGATTTGGAATTCAGAAGACGTCGAATTTCAGAATTCCAAAAACTTTCAAAACGAAAAAAGTGGACGTTAAAGTTTTCCCTCACAAATTTTCCAAAATTTTGATACCCATATTGACTGGTTTCAAGAAGTTTCATGATTCTGAATCCAGAAGACGTCAGGGATTCAGAATATTCCATTATTTGTAAAGTATGGCAATATGGGTATCAAAATGACGTGAATTTCATGAGAAATGCTTCTAACGTAAAATCTCTAACGTCTTCTGAATTCAGAAGACGTTAGAGATTCAGAATCCCACTTTTTTAGAAGTATCGTTGCAAAGTATGGCAATATGGGTATCAAAATGACGGGAATTGGATTTTAAACCTTTCTAACGTAAGAGTTTTTTACTTTAAGGGCTCTAAACCTTGGTTTACCTCTTATTGACATGCTCGATTTGTCCTTTCGCGTGTTCATCCAACTTCAAATCCTCGGCCAGCAATCTCGCGGCCGCATCGTTCACATCATCAACAAACAGCCTCACTTCATCGATTCGTTTCGAAATTTGGTCCGTTTCCTCTCTGGCAATCTTCAAATCCTCCAAATGAATCTTTTCTACTGCCTTCATCGTCTCAATTTCATTCTCAGAAGACGTCAGATGAAGTTGGCACTCTGCCAGATTCCTCTCGAGCTCCTGAAGACGTTGCATCGCGTGCTGCACCAGCTTATCCCATGATTCCACTTCAATTCCAAGCTCCGCCCAGTTCTTTTTGAGTTTTTCACAGTTGGCATTGATTTCAAGACCCCGACGACGTTGTTCAAGATCAGCGAGCTCTGAAATTCATGAAAATTTGAATTGGGCGTCTAGAGAGCTTCAAAATGAGCCTAAACAAGGCTATATCCCAAAAAATTAAATTTTTCAAAATTTCAAACTACCGTAACATTTTGAATTTATGATCAAACTCGAAAATTTTAAAATTTTAAAGCTTTGCAAGTTACAAGCTTCAAAATGAGTACCCACTCGCCCTATTTTTCTGAATTTCGATTTTCAGGGGGACCATGCGCCTTTAAACCCAAAATTTCAAAAATGAGCAAACCTAGACGTGTTTATACTCATTTTGAAGCTCTTTGTGAGTGAAATAAGAAAATTTTGGATTTTAAACACAAAAGTGGCTAAAATTCCAGAATTTTTTGATTTCAATTACCTTTTATAGCGGCGTCTCTTCGGGATTTTAATGTTATATGCATAGTTTTTTTTTGGAATTGTGGAATTTAGCTTTCAGAAAATTTCGAATTTTATAAATTTCAACGAAATTCGGAATCTTTTGTGTCTTCTCCCAAAAATTTTAAGAAATATACACACATGTGTTTTCCCACTCAAAAAAATCGAGAAGTTGATGGATTAGACTTTTGGGGTCTCTGGGAAACTCAAATTTTAAGTTTCTGGGTCAAATTTTGACGTTCAGTCGATTTTAAACTAAATTTCCAACATTTTGATACCAATATTGCCTATATTTCAAAACTTTTGATTTTTGGAATTTTGGATTCTGGAGAAGAGAATTTTTGGATTCTGATGCGTTTTCAGGTTTTGTAGCCTATTATTTGAAATTCCCATGAAATTTCCAACATTTTGATACCCATATTGCCATGAAATTTTCAAAATTTTGAAACATGGGCAATATGAGTATCAAAACGTCGAAAATTTAATGGAAAACAAGATTTTGATGTTAAAAATTGCTGGAAAAGATTCTGAAATTCAGAATCCTCTTCTCCAGATTCCAAATTTCCGAAAAATTAGAAGAAAATTGAAAATTTTGAAACATGGGCAATATGGGCATCGAAATGTCAGAAATTCAATGGAAAACAAGATTTCAATAGAAAACAAGAATTACTAAAAATGTTTCTGAAATTCAGAATCCTCTTCTCCAGATTCCAAAATTTTCAAAATTTCAAATTTTTTAAACATGTGCAATATGGGTATCAAAACGTCAGAAATGTAATGGAGAACAAGATTTTGACGTTAAAAATTGCTGGAAAATATTCTGAACGTCAGAATCCTCTTCTCCAGATTTCCCAAAAACTCAAATTTTTGAAACATGGGCAATATGGGTATCAAAATGTTGAAAATTTCGTGGAGGTTCTATTTTCCCAACTAACCTTCTTCCTCATAATCATCATCCAGGACATGTGGACTATGCAATTTCGGCCTCAAATCGTGTTGCATCAAAAAGCTATGAGCATCGGCTACAGTAATCTTGTAAACTACATTTTTCGACTCCATTTCTCTCTGTAGTCCTTTAACAAATGCTGATTGTTGCATCACAGCTGATAAGCTCCCTCCAATCGGTTGCTCATCCATAACTTTCTGTTTTTTCGCCTCAACCCACGATAGGAGATCCGCAAGACCATCGGATAGCTTTTCCCATTCTTGTTCAGCTTTTTCCAAGCGTTCTCTGAAAAAAAATTGAGATTTAGCATAACAATTATATTTGTCAAATTTTCTGACTCTTTTCCAAATTCAAAGCGCATCATTTTGAGCCAAGTAACCCCTAATTTGAGTTTGGTGGCCTAGAAAACCAAATTTTCGGAAAACTAGGCCATGTTGTATATCAAGTTGACAGGTTTGTCATGCCAAAGCCAAATCTGTTTTATGTTTTGAAAAATATTGGTTTTGAGCCAAGTTATGAGCATTTGAAGTTGGTGGCCTAGAAAACCAAAACTAGGCCCTCTTCATAACTTTCTTTAAATTTGCTATTTTTCGAATTTGAAAATTGTTATGAACTTCAAATAACAAGCCTGACGAAATGATATACAACATGGCTTAGTTTTCCAAAAAGTTGGTTTTCTAGGCCACCAACTTAAAATGACCGTAACTGGAGCCAAAATTTATATTTTTCAAATCTAAAACATGATATGGAATATTCGTTGTTAGTTAATCATTTTGATATACAACATGGCTTAGAAATCCAGATGTTATAGCCTAGAAATTCAAATTTGGGTTTCTAGGCCACCGATGCAAAGTATTCAAAGTTGGTCAAAATAGGTCATGTTTAGGCTCATTTTGAAGCTCAGAACAAGGCTAGTCTAGAAATTTAAATTTAAAGCTTCTAAACCATATAAAAATTTCTGAAAATCTCATTTTCTTACCCAATATCATTAGTGGTCTTTCTTATCGCCGCCCATCTCCTTGTCGTGTCTCCAACTCGCTTCAAAAGTTCCGCCTTCTCATTTCCAGACTCTAAACTTTCAGCCAACATTTTCCCCATACTTTCCACGCTCCTCATCACATCCTCATGAGCATTCAACTCGGCATTCAATGTTTTAAAGCTTTGGGTCCAATTTTTTCGTTTCGTCGTGTCTTTGATCGCTTGCTGATTGGATGTATCGTGTGCTAGCTTTGAGCAATATTCCTCCTGTCGTCCCAACCACATTTCAAACTCTGAAAGTGCCGAATGGAAGTCCCTTCTGGATCGCAACGACGCCTCCAGGACGGCTCGTCGGATTCGAATGCTGGAAAACAATGAGTTTTAGCAGTGATATCCATTCTGAATGGGATTAATTTCTTTTTTGTTTGATTTTTCAGATTTATTGCTTCTCAATACTTTTTTCAAACCTCAAAAATAACAACTTTGAGCCAAGTTATGAACAATTGAATTGTGGTGGCCTAGAAATCCAAATTGTTGAAAAACTAGGTCATGTTGTATACCATTCTTACAGGCAAAGGCGTGCCATTTCAAAAAATGGTTTGAAATTTCAAAAATATCAGATTTGAAGAACGTTATGAAGGGGGACTAGTTTCGGGCTTCTAGGCCACCATACTTAAATACGCGTAACTTGGTTCAACATTGATATTTTTGAAAACTTTAAAATGAAATGAAACGTTTATCATTAGCCAAACATTTTGATATCTAACATGGCCTAGTTTTCCGAATTTCGGATTCCTAGGCCACGAGCTTAAAATTGGTGTAACTTGGCTTAAAACTATTATTTTTGAGACCTTAAAAGTGTTATAGATGTCTTGTGACTTTAGGAGTAATTGGAACTAATTTCTATTCGAAAAACCCTAAATTTTGGGTCAGTTTAGGCCAATTTTAGCTTGGTGGCCTAGAAACCCATTTTTCTAGGCCACGCTCAAAATCTTTCAAAACTAGTCGTGATTAGGCTTATTTTGAAGCTCTCATTCAGTCAATTCTAAAAATCTGACTTTTGACTCAAATAAGTGGCCTAGAAACTCAAAACGATGGGTTTTCTAGGCCATCATTTGATTTTCTAGGTCACCTTCCTTTAAATGGCCATAACTCGGCTCAAAATCAATATTTTTGAAATCTGAAAATTGCTCTGAATTTCATAAGTCAATCCTGACAGAATAATATACAATGTGACCTAGTTTCTTGTAAATTTGGTTTTCTAGGCCACCAAAAAAATCGACTCACTTATCATTGAACTTTGTCCAGCTCATATTCATCCTGCTCAGGAGATGACTCAAGTTGTGCGCTTCGTCTTTGGTATAGGTATCGACGATTTTGTGAGCCTAAATTTGGATTACTGTAGTGGAATTCTTCAAAAGGATTACTGTACCTGCGTGTTGATGGCCTCCATTTTGTCCTTTCGCTCATTCAACTGTCCGACAATCTTCTCCAGAATCTTCAGCTCGTCTCGAACGACGTCTTCTGCCAATTCTTCGACTCGCCGCTCTCCGATGACGTCATTTGCAGATTTCAACCATAACTCCATCTCATTTCTTGAAGATTCATTTTGCCGGGAAACGTCGGAAATTTGGTTTAGGATCAGACAACGTTTTTCGCAATTTTCGATAGTTCGACGCATTTCGGTTAGCTGGAAGATTTGAAAATCGGATTTTTCATAAAATTTTAAACAAAATACATTTTTGAGATATTAAACATCTCCTTTTTCAGCCAAGTTATAGCCATTTGGAGTTGGTGGCCTAGAAAACCAAAATTTCAGAAAACTAGGCCATGTTGCATATCAATTTGTCAGGTGTGTTTTTTCAAAACTTTTTCAATTTTTAGATTTCAAAAATATCAATTTTGAAAAAATTTATGAAGGGGGACTAGTTTTGCAGTTCTAGGCCACCAACTTAAAATGCTCATAACTTGGTTCAAAATTATCACTTTTAAAATCTAAAAACATATTTGGCATTGGTATAACTAGCCTGTCATTTTGATAACAATTATGACCTGGTTTTTGGAAGCAATTACTAAATTTTAAACTAAAAGGATCATAACTTGGTTCAAACTCAAAATTTTCAAAACTTCACATATTAAAATGATTGACTAGTGATTACAATTTTTAATCAAGTTTTAAAATTTTAAAAATATCAATTTTCAGCCAAGTTACAAGCAATTTAAGTTGGTGGCCTAGAAAACCAAATATTTGGAAAACTAGGCCGTATGGTATATCACTTTGTCAGGCTTGTTTTATAAAGTATATCGCAGTTTTTAGATTTAGTAAACATCGATTTTGAAAAAAGTTATGAAGAGGGCCTAGTTTTGGTTTTCTAGGCCACCAACTTAAAATTTCTGTAACTTGGCTCAACATTGATATTTTTGAAATCTAAAAATAGATTTGGTATTGGCATAATTAGCTTGTCAATTTGATAATAAATTTAGCCTAGAAACTCAACTTTTGGTTTTCTAGGCCACCAAATTTCAAATGCTTGTAAGTCAGCTTAAAATTGATATTTTTCGAAGACTGAAAAAAGTGAAAAAAATGCAAGAAGGAGCAATTTAATTTTATTCAAAATTTAATTTGGAATTCTTCGGTCATGGCCTAGAAATCCTTCTTTTTAGGCCAACCATTTCTAGGCCACTAACTTGAAGTGACTGTAGCTTGGCTCATAATCAACATTTTGGAAAACTGAAAAATGTGTTAAGATTGCCATTAAAAATCAATATTTTTGAAATTTAAAAAAACTATTGAGCCCTTTAAAGTTCAATTTTTTGAAAAAAAAACCCACCAACTGAGCAGCCTGCTGTCGAACCTGCCTATTCGGACTGGCATCGTGTGCTCCCGTGACCTGAACACTTCTCAATCGGATTTCATCGATTATCGATTGGATATTTTGCCAGAGCTCTCGTGCCGGCTGCCACTGAGCCAAATCTACAGTATTCGATGCATCTCGCTCGACGTCGTGCAACCAGTGACGGGTATGGGTCAACTGGACAGCTACAGGGTCCAGAGTTTGGGATACTGTAGGTCCGGCGCCTCCACGTGGCAGTGTGGAAGAGGATTCTCGAGAGTAGATCTTCTGATCTTCTTCAGATTGCTCATCATCTCCATTCAACGTGTGATTATCCTCATTTTCTGATGATGCCGACGGTGTCTTGTTGGAGGAGCTCGAAGAGCTCTGTTTGGCGTGTAGGGGGGGCATTTCGACAACCTGGAAGAGCTACAGTAATCCAAAAAATCAGAAAATGCGAAAAATTTTCAAGGAAATCCGTTTAAAAATGACCCAAAAATCACGATTTTTGGCGAAAAGCCGGGGGGGGGGGGGTACGACGAATTCGAACGTTTTCAAAATCGAACAGCAATGCAGAACAGTCTCCTTTTCGAACATGTATCAAAAAAGAACAAGAGCAAAATCGAACTGTGCGAAATTCGAACTGTTTCGGAGTCGAACTGTCCCGAATTGGAACGTTCTTAGCCACAGAGCGCGCTTGCATTATTTGTGTTTTCTCTTTTTTTTCCCGCAAATTTATATTGTTTCCTCAATTAAAAATAAAGGTTTTCGATCTAATTTCATACGAAATAATTCTGTTTTAGCTTTTAAAATAGAAACGGTTTTTCAGAAAAATGGCTCCGAGAAGAAGCAAGCCGATCGTCAAGCTGGAGGCATTTAAAAAAAAATGAAAAAAAGGCGGAAAAGAACTCTGGTGCTGGGTTGAGAGGTAAAAATCTTATATTTATCAAAATAAATTCACAGGTGATTCGCGAACAATCCGTTACGGACGCTCGGCGTTCGCGCGCGGTTGAAATAGGAACCGCACGCGAACCGTTTTCAGTAAATAGCAGTACATTATTCGGATTGATCCGTATTCTGTCCGTTCGCGAGCTCCG